TTTTGTTCCATGGAGTTTAGATCGTGTCCCTTGACTCTCTGCCATGTTATATATTAGCGTGGTGTCCTTTCTCTCACCTGTCATCTCCTATTTCATACTTTCCATATTTCCCTGCTACACCTTTGTATTGTCAAGGTTGATAGTATTTCCTTTCTGTTTTGTAATCACACGTAAGGCATTCATGCTTTATCTGTAAGATAAGTCTAAAAGTTGAAAACTAATGAATAGCACTTATAGGATAAGACTGTGTTAATGTTGTTCACAGCAGGGCCAAGCAGTATATTGGGGCCCTAGAACTTTCTCTACACATGCAATATGACAACCTCTGTGCCATTTGAAAGGAGAATGTTTCTAGTATTCTAACATTCTGTTTGCTTTTTCTGCATTGAGTTCTCTGAAATCATGCCACATTTAGTGGGTAAATTGACATTTAATTACATATTGAAAAAGATCAGAAGTAGTGATACAGGGGTACCTAGGTGGCTCAGTTGGTTAAGCTGCCAACTCTTGATTTCAGCTCAGGTCATAATCTCAAGGTTCATGAGATGGAGCCCCGCATTGGGCTCTGCATTGACAGTGCAGAGCCTGCTTGGGAGGCTTTCTCCTTCTCTCTGCCCCTCCCCCACTCCCTGGTGCACCCATGCCCTCCCTCATTCTCTCTCTCTCTCTTTCAAAGATAAATAAACTTAAAAAAAAAAAAAAAAAAAAAAAGAACTAGTGATACAGTTGCATAGTAGACACTCAGTAAATGAATGACCTGCACAACACTATTAGGGAGAAAAAGGCAAGAGGAAAATGATGGAAAGCACAAGAAAGAAAAGAATTTCAAAATAATAAGTGCATTGCAAATGGCCAAGTTTCTGAAAGTTGAACTGTATTTGAATAACTCATGTCCCTCAATCCAGATCCAAAGATAATATTGCTGCTGCTGAAACTTGGGCTTTGTACTGTAACCAGAGTTTATTAATTGTCCTATTTCATTGAGGAAAAAATGCAAAGCAGACAGAACACTGGAGTAACTAGCTGGAAATATTCCATGACTTTATGGGAAGCAGCTTTCCAAATGATTCGTGTGGAGGCCAAACTCTTGGTCTAGCCAAAATAGCACTAAAGTGTGCCTTGATGGTACATTAAAGAAGAAATTTTCCCCCAATTTACTTGTTAAGATTTACAGCCTTTCTGCCTCCTCAAAACATAGCATTGATTTCTTTAATATCAAAAAATAATTTCCTAAAATAGATTGCTAATGACTGCTTTCAGTTATTTACTTAAGGAGGATTGGGCCAAGTACTGCTTATATGGTTTCCTGTAAAAGACTGAATTAATTTTATAATTTTCATAATTAATGTTATTCCTATTTTGTAGAATATGCTACTAATATGACTGGTCATTACCACATCTTATTTTGATATCTCTTAAAACATTTTCACTTTATAAATAAGATATTAAAACATCGATCATATGAAAGAGCAGAAAAATGTACCTTATTTGTAGACCAAATGGTAATAATTAAATTACTAAACACCAGAGAAATTAAAAGTTGCAGCTTAAATAAACCTTATCAGATATTTAGTGGAGAAAATGAAACTATTCAGGGGGGTGGGGGGTATGGTTTTTAAAATTCCACCACTCCATTACAGTCATTGTAGAATATTTGAATTCCTACCCAAAACAGTAAGATAAAGAAGACTACATAATCATTGTTACCAGTTTATAATTCATTCCCTTCTTTTTATGTTTTTTACTTTATAGATCATATTCTCATCCAATTGTTTCAGTCAATATTGACATTTTTCATGTTATAAACATAGTTTTTAATGGCTACATATTACTCTATCAGGTATAATTAACTGTAATTTAACCACTTACCATCGTTGAACATTTAGGTCATTTTTTTTTTCAGTGTAAACCTTGCATATAATGTTTTGTCTTATTTTAGGGTTATTTCCTAAGATGCAAAAACTCCAAGGGGTCCAATGTTATATTTTAAAGGTCCATTGTTCAAACTGCATTCCAAAAGTCACACCAGTTTACACTGTAACCAGCATCTTAACTGCCCAAATGCCAGAACAGAACTTTAAGAATATTTCACTAGGGTTGTTTTGGTTTATCAGTTGAGATGATCCAGAAAACCATCAAAAAGAGAATGTGTAGAGATAAAGCACTTGGCTGACTGTGTACATATTTTAGTAAAGCCTCAATGTTAAGCCAGAAGCCATTATTCATATCCGTGATGTCTTAGACATGGGAAAATGCTTCTAATTTTTGCAACATAAAAGAAGTATGATGACAGTGACAAAACGGAATGGCTAGCCAGACATGCTGATCTGAAAGATAGAGTGAGGATTTGAACATTGTACTCAGTTTCCATTTAGACGTCTCAGTGTTTTTCACTCTGAATTTGGGAGTTTGCTGTATTTAGACATATTTTTGTAAAACTAGAAAGTAACAGAGAGCAAGTTTGAGATTGCTAAAATGTATGTCACTACTGTCAGAGGTTGCAATTACATTTATCTTTATTGAGCTATTAGTTTGATTATATTTTCTGTAATAATAAAGGTTGTGTTGTAATATAAAAATTAAGAATAAGTGTTTAATTCATTTAGGTAATTAAAATACAAATTCTTTTTGGAGTCTTACAGTGTTACAACTTTTGCTTATGGGAAAGTTACTTGCTTTTCATGTTTACTAAATATGCAACCTATACTTGTTTTCCGCTGTTCAAAAGTGAAACAAACCTTAAACTTTTCGATCAGTATCGTCTTGATAACTTGCTCATTGACCGAGAAACTCTACATAGGTCATTCTAAAAGCAAATTATTCAATATATTCCCATTTGTGACACTGAAAAGCCTCTTTGCTTTAAATTCTTAGAAGGGAAGTTTTTCTTAAGAAAGAACGGATAATTTTAACTATAACATAAAAGAAGGGTGCTAAAATTGAACAACGATGTTCCTTTAATCTCATGCTTCAGTGAGAGATCAGAGCCCTTCTGGAGACTTGGTTTACATACACATAATATTGAACCAAATTACCTTCTCAATGTCAAATTAGATAGAAGCTAACATTTAGATAGTTTTTCTGGTTTAATATATATACACCTAGACTTTGGAATGTTAAAGTTAAGGAATAACCCTATATAACATTATAAATATTTTAATAATTTGTTTAGGAAAATTAAAACAAACTAGTAAAGATTTATTGATAAAGTAATAATTTTTGTGATGCGATACCCTTTAGAATATGTTTATATGGAAAAAAGAATTTTGGCATTTCACATAGGAGGAAAATTTTCCAGTTCTTAGTTTTGTAACTCTGCTTTTTAATTTTTATGTTCTAACATATATCCAAAATCTACCCATGTGAGATTATTGTAGAAGTCTTTCATTGTTAAAGCATAAAAGTTCCTACTTATACACATTATATATCCCAAGTTCAAAACTAAATTCTTTGTTCACTGTGTTTAGCAGTCTGAAAATAGATGTAAAAAAAAAACAGCTGTGACATCTAAAAAGTTTCTAAATTCTTTGATCAACTCTGATAATAGATTAAAATTAAAAATTTTAATTTTGCAATTAAAAGTGTTTAAGTTTTTGTTCTTAATCAGTACAACTTATTTTTTCAACACTTTTATTTTCTTTCTGATTTTGTAGTCATAACATGTAAAAGTCATACATGGTTTTTAAAACACTTAACCTTACACACCTGGTGGTCTTTGTGTATAAAAGTACAGCGGAACTTTTTGTTAGTGACAATCGAAAGAAGACTCGTGTGTGTCTTGAGAGAATATATTAAAACTTGGTTTAAGAAATGATGAGCCCGGGCACCTGGGTGCCTCATTTGGTTAAGTCTGACTCTTGATTATAGCTCGGGTCATAATCTCACGGTTTGTGAGATCAAGCCCCTTGTGAGGCTCTGCACTGACAGTGTGGAGCCTGTCTGGGATCCTCTCTCCCTCTTTCTCTGTGCCTCCCCAGCTCATGTTGTCTCTCTCAAAGTAAATATACTTCAAAAAAAAAAAAAAAATGCTGAACCATGTCTTTGACTCAATAGGAGATGTTGCTGTACCAAGACTTAACTATCTGCCAGTCTGCTTCTTTTTAGTGTAAGCACTATAGAATTAAGCACTTTTCAAACTATAGGATTACACAAATGTTTTTACTTCTCTTATTTTTACTGGTGGTGTCATTAGTTAGAACATGAAACTATATAGGCTAAGGACAAATTTGGTTCTTTTTTGAGCCGTTTAATTTTCATCTTTTCTGTGACCACATTTCTTGAACGTGTGGACTGAAAATGTAATTTTATACCCTTTATACCCTTTTATGATGAAAAGAGAAAGTGTATGCCCTATTAATGATGGGTAAGAAAAAGTTGAAGGTCTCGGAAAGTATGATAGAACTTTCATACTTTATCTAACCTTATTTACATATGCAGTTTTCAGAAATGATTGCCAATGAAAACCTACTCTTGGTTAGTGTAGTATGCAAATAGTGTGTAGGGAAAAGAGAGGTTCTTCTCTTTTTTTAATGTTTATTTTTGAGAGAGAGAAAAAAAGCAGGGATGGAGCAGAGAGAGAAGGAGACAGAGGATCCGAAGCAGGCTCTGCGCTGACAGCACAGAGCCCAACATGGGGCTCGAATCCCAAACTGCAAGATCATGACCTGAGCCGAAGTCAGACGCTTAACCCACCAAGTCACCCAGGTGCCCCTCAGAGAAGTGGGGTTCTTCTTGAGTAATTAGTGTGTTTGAACTAATGCAGCCTGGGAGGTGGTCAGATAACCTTGGGATTTGCTAAGTTCTACTTATTTTAAGAAGACTCCATCCTTAGAGACTGTAAGTTGTCAAAAGTCCCTCAGAAGTGGTTACTTCTGCTTTAAATTTAGTGTGACCATCCAGTAGCTATAAGGTAGTAGTGGAATAGCTTCCTTCCTTCCCTTTAAAACTTGGCACACAAATAGTTTTGTGTAAAAGTAAAAAATTTTAATGTCTCTTCACAGCTGTGACATCTTATGAAGATCTTGGACTCTTTGCATTTGGATTACCTGGAAAGGTAATTTTTTTTTCTTTACTGTCTCCAAAATCTATACAGGCATTTTTTCCCTTCCATTTCTAATTAAAAGAGACAAATATATCCAAGAGAAAGAAATTCAAGGGAATGAAAGGAAATGAAGGAAGACAGAATGGTGGGAACAGGAAGAGAGAGAGAAGGAATCTCTCTTTCTATGTGCTTCTGGAATCGATAAATTTAACACTTAAATCTATTTTTCACCCTAATGAAGGAGAGGGGTGATGTGAATAATTTTAAAATTGTAACAATGACCTGTTTTAAGTTTTTTTAAATTAATTTTGGCAACATTAACTAATCTTCATAAACATAGGGAAAAAAAGAAGCATAGAATTAATATTATAGCATGACTATAAAACTAATCATTAGATTATATCATTTATAAGCTGAACAATGCGAAAAGATTATATAGCTATTCCCTCTTTTATAGGTGAGGAAATTAAGGCCCAGAGAAATGAAGGGGCCTATTTGTCCACAGTTACTTAAAGCTAGTATGACGTTGTAGAACTTCAGACTCTAAATGAACTGCTCTTCTTCCTCAGAATAGAAATAACAGCAATATTAATTGGGCATTGACTTGTGATAGGCATATTAAACTAAACTGAGAGGTAGAGAAAACAATGTCTTCTTCCACAGATAATCAGGAGTTAAATATTTTTGTTAGTTCTGTAGTACTTTATTTCTGAAGATCTATCGTACTTCGAAAACCCATTTTCATGTGGGTTGCAAATAGGACTTTTTCTTTCCATTGCCAATCTGTTGTTTATGTTTTTTGTTTGTTTATTTTGTTTGTAATCTTAAAGGATACAGTATCTGTAGATGGCCAAACCCACTTCTAAGAAGTGAAAATGGGAGGAAAAAGATCTAGCTATGTAACAGGGGAAACAACCCTGGATTTACATTCACATTAACTTTGTTCTTAACATACAAAAGGGAATATCTAAATCATGCTATGTAGCCTCATAGTTTGGACCGCGTCTTAACAACCTGCAACTTGAACAAAATGAAGAGTATGTTACTTTCAGGTAAAGGGTTTTGTTAATCATCCTAGTACCAGTTTCTCTTTCCTAAAGGTCGGGATGTTTGGTATAGTCATGGTCAGTTTCCTGCATCCACTTTAACCAAGCGAGAAGAAAATGTTATTTATGTAAGAAAACTCTTATTAATTTAATATGATCTATAAATATGACTCTAAGCATTATCACTGTTATTTCACTCTAGTATTTCCTGCATTCCTTGAATAGCAGCAGAGTCTAAAAAAGCATGGACTATTGGGAGTCCCCTTTTCCTAAAACTCTAGATAGTTGCATTATCATTATGTATGCACTCAGTCCTTAGTAGGCAGGTACATAGAAGATTCTCTAAATGAGGAGTTGTTGTTTGTTTGCTTTTTTTATATTTCCTCTCCACCTCCACAATTGGGTTCAAACTTTCCTATTTCCTTCTTTCCAGATATGATACAGATATGGATATGACATAAGATAACATTGCTCTGAGAATTAAATATTTTTAAGTTTTTTGGACTTTTTAAGAAAGATTTTCAAAATTGTCTATAAATCCATTTATATGCTCACCAAACAAATATTTATCAGGTCAATACCATCCGCCATGCACTATACTGGTATACTAGTAGGCTATGAAGACCTACATAGGTAGACAGACATACTGACTTTCTAGATCTTAAGTGCTTAAATGCAGCCAAAAATGGAAACATAATCATGAATAAGTTGATATTCTTTTTTTGAAATATATTAGTAGAAATCCAAATTTCATGTATGACTGACAATAGATACAAATTGCATATGAGAAATAGTGTGCAAAAGTTCAAAATAGCCTTTTCACAAATAACTGTGAGGTTTTGTAATTTTTAAATGGGTTGATACACAAACTTTCTTGTGGACATGTTAGAGTGGCAACTACTACATCTTCAAAGACACCTCTCGTTAATCCTGCTCTGTGAACCCCAAGTCCTCTAGGGTTTCCAGGATAGGCAAATGCTGTGCCACTGTTGGAATTTCTAGTAGAGGTGAGTCTGAAAGGTGATCTGCTCCCAGTCCATGAACTGAGTTATCCTACATAGCTAGTCCACTCTGAGCATACATTGGGGGTACAGATCCACCAAAATTCATGTGATTGAAAGGCCCAAGTGGAAGCAGAATGTTTCATCATTTGCTCTGAGTACATCTGATTACTAAGAATAGATAAAATGTCTAGAGTTCCCCAGGAATCTCATCAGAATCACAAGTCATCAAGCCCTACAAGCTGAACTTAGTCCTTAGGCATATTTTGTTTGGCTTAAATTTTTTTTATGTTTAACTAATTGCCAACTAAGAGTTATGAAATTTTGAAAGAATTCAGTTTCTGACTTTCCTTGAAAAATTAAGGGAATGGAGAAGATCTAGCTACATCGGATTCACTTTCTCACATGCCAACAACTGGCCAGAGCTGAGTAGTAGTTGCCCCATTTTGAAAGGGGAGGAGTTCTCCGATAGACTGTGGTCTTCACAACCTTCTGTTGTCTTACACTGAGCCCGCTCTATATTAGTGAATTTGAAATAGTTTGCTTAAAATTTCAGGTCTGGGATGTGTGGGCTCTAGAGTTTTCTGCTCTAGACTTTTTCTGGGACAGGATGTCCCAGGCCTTGGTGTATGCCAAGCCGGCACACTCAGAAGACTAAATCATTTCCTTTTATGCAAAACAGCATCGGCCCAGCACACCTCAAGCTGTCGCAGTCTACCTCTTAAAGCAATGTCACGTTCTACCTACTAAAGCAGTGAAAAGGGGAGAAGGAGACCAGATAGATTTAATTTCAATTTTTTGGTACTTTGATAACCACCAATTACTAGCTCTTTAACACTTTTAACTGTTTGAAAATGACTGCCAAGAAAATTTTCAAAAGCATTCTTTATAGTAACCGTGGAACTATTAAAGAAAGGCTTTTTATGTGATGATAATTCGTTTTATGTATTACAAATGGCTGACAAAATGTATTCTTTTTGGTTTCTCTTCACTCAACCTCTACATCTGTTTTTTTTAGTAATAGTTGTTGGATTTTAATAAAATACTGATCCTTTTCTATTATTTCTTTCATCTTCTGAATATATTTGTTCTTTCATAGATGGTGGTAGCAGGCACCATCATAATTCAGAATATTGGAGGTAAGCAACTGAAAGTGAACTGCTTGTGCATAAATGCGTTGGAAATGATTTCTTCGTTTTGGTTATTGCCCGACTATGGGTCTAGCTGGGAGCCTGAATCTCTGCAGACATAGGTATCTTCAGAAACCCTCAGTGTTGTCCTCATTTCTCTCTCTCTCTCTCTCTCTCTCTCTCTCTCTCTCTCTCTCTCTCTCTTTTAGATCCTTTTTATTTGCAGGCCTTAGGGGACAATAGCTTCTAAATTTAGTTTCAGGTAAACCCTTAATTTAAATTCTTGTTATTGGGTCTGCAGCACACCTCTAAAGCATTGACTTTCTGTTAGTTGCTATAGTTGTAAGACACAATTTGGAAAACTCTTCAGATGATTCTAAACTATTTCCCCTCTACTTTTGTCCTAATTACCCCATTGGCAGATACTGCTTCAGAGGGAGTGATGTTTCTTGGGCTGTGAACAATCCGGGGTAGACAAGCAATATCGTGTTACAACCAAGAAATTTAAAATGACAAGGTAGTTTAAAAAACAAACAAACCTGAAACAAATAAGAACCATTCTCACATTTACCTTGTATCTTGTTTTCATTAAAAAAGACCCCAATAATTGGGGTGCCTGGCTGGCTCAATTGGTTAAGTATCTGACTCTTGGTTTTGGCTTAGGTCATGACATCACGGTTTGGGAGTTCAAGCCTTGTGTCAGGCTCTGCCCTGACAGCTTGGAGCCTGCTTGGGATTCTCTCTGTCCCTCTCTCTTTCTGACCCTCCCCCACTCACACTGTCTCTCTCTCTCAAAATAAATAAACTTAAAGAAAAAAATCCCAATATTGAGAACCATGTAGAAATGAAAGTTACTGTTAATTATAGACAGTTACTGACTAAATGTATTAAACATTTCAATCCAAAATGGAATATTTTCTGTCCCTCATTATTCTGTCTGATTACTAAGAACCATCACATTTTGTTTAGATTAGGTTGAACTATTGTTTGCATTTTATGTAGAATTTTCAATCCAGGAATTTGGATCTAAATTTGTGACCCTGCCAAAATGCCTGCTGTTATATTCTTGGTATCCTTCATTTTGATCCTTTCCTTGTTCTCTAATCTTGTATCTAACTATTATTGTACATGATATATTTTAGCACTTGTTATTAGATATGAAGTTATTTCTGTGTATGCTTTTCTCCCTTACTATATATGTGTGTGTGTGTGTGTGTGTGTGTATGTATATATATATATATATAATCTTTATTTTTGAGAGAGAGGGAGACAGTGTGAGCAGGGGAGGAACAGAGAGAGAGGGAGACACAGAATCCGAAACAGGCTCCACGCTCGGAGCTGTCAGCACAGAGCCCAACATGGGGCTCGAACTCATGAACCTCAAGATCATGCCCTGAGCTGCAGTCAGATGCTTAACCAACTGAGTCACTCAGGCATCCCTCCCTTACTATATTATAATCTCCTAGGGCGAGGACTATCTCTCATTTCTTTTTGTATTCCTAGAACCTAGCACAATACCTGGGGCATGATAGACCTTTGCTGAACTGAACAGAGCTGAATATTATTTGTATGAGCTATGTCCAAATACTTTTTAATATTCTATATATATTTATCAAGAAAAAGAGAAAAAGGAATGGTGAGCTAAACTACTCATTAGCTTTAAATATTTGAAAAGCTGAACAAGAAATTAAAAGAAAAATGTTCTAGAAAAAGAATCTCCTAGAAAGGATTCTTGCATCTGGTAACAGATAAATCATTAATTTTCTCAACTCTAAGTATGTTGATTTGCTTACTTGCTTTATATTATAACCTTTTTTAGAAAAAAGTGAGAGGCAGTCACAGCAATTTTTGATGTCCCTCAAATTCAGCAAAGCGGATAATGCTGCTTTAGTTTTTAGAATAATATCCTAATGATTTTCTTCACCTTGGCTAAAAGTTTATTTATTGAAAGCCCACTAAGTAATAACTGAAACATATTTCTAGAACTGTTTTCTGTTGTCTTAGCCAGATATGCATAAATCATTCCTTTGTTATAATAGAAGTCGAAGCTTGCTCTTGTGAGCAGATCACTGGGTTGGAAGTCAGGGGCCTTGGATTCTGTGCTCTGGCTCACTCACTCTCTTGGCTTCAGTTTCTTCTTAAATTGCTATGGGAATAGGATGGGAAACTAGGAGCTTATTAAGGTCCTTCTCACTCCAAAATTCAAATTCCACACTTTGGGAGGGCATGTTAACTCCTTCAGAATATTGAAATATTTTTATTACAGGTAAGTTCAGTAGGAGGGTTATACTTGGTTCAAAAGATGACTTGGTCTTTTCTTAGGTGTCTCTAACAAATCTGCAACTATCACTCTAAAAGCTTTCGTGGATGTTGTTATCAGAAAAAGGGAGTCTTGGTTTTTCAACTACCTGTCAGGGCAGCTGCTGAGCCTCTGGGGTTAAAGTCTAGGAACTCTGGTCTTAAGAAGTAGTTTTTTCATGTTTTTTTTTTTTTAAGTTGTATTTTTTTTTTAACATTATTTTGAGATAGAACGCACGCGAGCGCATGTGCGCTTGCCTGAGCTGGGGAGACCAGGGGAGAGAGAGCGAGAATCCCAAGCAGGCTCTGTACTGTCAGCCTGAGTGCAACGCATGGCTCAAACCCACCAACTAAACAGAGAGATCGTGATTTGAGCCAAAACCAAAAGTCAGATGCTTAACTGACTGAGCCACTCAGGTGTATGTTTTTGATTGATGCAAGTTGGTTCTGTGGAAGTCCTAGACGAGTACTTACTAGATTCTGTATGCTTGAGAAGCCCAGCATACTTATCCGGGAGGTTCTTTACTATGTTGTGCATATGACTTATTTAATGTTATTTCCTCAAACTGGATTTTGCCTTTCTCTTTGTCAATTAGAAATATGTTGGATATTTATAAGATGATATGAAGTATATAGCATCACAGATAGAATTTTTGTACTTACATGCCCATCTGCATGTAATTTGGTTCCAGTAGCATTTTCTGAAAGATAGGATGATAATTATTGGTATAAATGGCTGAGTTTTTGTATTGATTATTTAGAACTGAAAAATGACTATAATAGATCCTCTCTAGATCAGACATTCTACTACACATTTTAGTTGTACTTACAGCAACTCTTCAAGGGAGATGATGTTATCCTCATTTTACAGAGGAAGAGGTCAGTGTGTAGAGGGAATAAATAACTTGCTTACATTTACCCTTTAATAAAGCTGGGACTCAACTTCACTCTCTCTACTGCTAAAGACTTTATTCTTTCTGCTGTGATATAGTAAGTGTTTGAAAATCTGTGAAAATACTAAATGTTGAGGATTTTTAAAACTCCTTGGGGATAAGAGCTATGTGTTTTCATTTGTTTTCCTAACTTGACCTAATTTCTAGTAGAGAAACCCAATAAATAATATTTGTTGAATTTTAAAAGTTCTACTTAAAAGCCTAAGATTTTGCCTCAAAGAGACCATTTTATATACTACATTAATGATAGAAAGAAATTTGAAAGCCCAGAGAATGATTTGTAGATTAGAATTATATAAAAATTAAAAGGCTGAAAGTATTGAGAGTTAGATCTTATTTATATAAAATAGAATTAAAATATTTTGAAATCTGTTATTTTGAGGTTAGGTAATCATATTTTATTTTATTTTATTTTATTTTATTTTACTTTTACTTTTAAACATTTATTTATTTTTGAGAGACAGAGACAGAGCATGAGCAGGGGAGGGGCAGAGAGAGAGAGGGAGACACAGAATCCGAAGCAGGCTCCAAGCTTTCAGCACAGAGTCTGATGCGGGGCTTGAACTCACAAACCCTGAGTTCATTACCTGAGCCAAAGTCCAGCGCTTACTGACTGAGCCACCCAGGCGCCCTGGTAATCATATTTTAGATTAATGCTTAACTCTTCTAGTCTTTGTAACATTTAAACATTTTTCAGTTTTCTTAGGATTCTGTGCCCCTGATGAATCTATGAGAAATATGGAAGAGGGAGATCTTTAAAGTCAAAATGATCATGAATTGCCCTTTTTTTAAAAAAAAAATTTTTAACATTTATTTTTGAGAAAGAGAGAGCATGAGTTGGAGAGGAGCAGAGAGAGGGAGACAGAGAATCTGAATCAGGCTCCAGGCTCTGAACTGTCAACACAGAGCCCGATTATGAATTGTTCTTGATCAATATTTGTTACATGGATGTGTCAGTAAAGACCCAGCGTATCCCCTACATCTCTTTATTACATAAATCCAAGTAATTTGCTCATTCATTTGTGTTCTTAGTATCTAGCATATAATAGACATTTCATAAGTAATATTTATTATGGGAAAAAAGGAAGGAGTAAGAGGAGGGAGAGAAGGAAAAGCCAGCGGCCTGGCTTGGTGCTTCTTTAGGAGGAAGAGAATTGATCAACTGGCAAGAGGGACCATGGAATATTATAAGTGAGGATATAGCTTCTTTAGGAAAGAATTTACTGTCAGAAAACCTCTTTCCCCCAGGATCAATGAGGCACCAAGTATTAGTCACAGGGCACTGATGTAGTCTAACAAATTGATTGGAAAAATATAGTGTCTTTGAATAATTTCTAAGGTTTAGAAAAAAATGTGACTCACTAAATATAGCACTCTTGTTCTAAGCTTTTGGAAACCTTTGCCTTTGGAATATGGAAAGCCCTCCAGTAAAATACTACTTCGAGGCAATTCCTTATCTCCTCCCAACACTAATGAATTCAGGGCCTGAAACAGGCCCCAGCAATAGCCCCCGGCTGGCCATTTCGTCAGGAGCTGGAGTGACATTCACTCAGAGTCATTGCTGCTGGGACGCAAAGTCGGTAAAGAGACATCTGGAAGTTTTAATATTTAATGCTAGTACCGGCAAGAGAACTCTGGCTTAGGGTTTGAATTTGGTGGGCTACTAGTAAAAAAAGGAGTAAGAACTGTAGTGGCAAATAAATGTAGGTAATTTCCACATAGTCCTTCTAGCATTTTTGCATTATGAGATTCTTTTCC